ACCACAGGCCAAGGTGTGGCAGCTGCTATGCCCTTCTCCAGAATCAGTCATACTGTCCATCTGCCCATCTCCTTCTGTTGCCTAGGAGACAGTATGCGCTCTGCCCATCGCCTGCATTGCCCCTGGTCCCCTCTGACGATACCCACCCAAGCTTTTCCTTCCACCAGCCCGGAGGCACCCACCCTGCAAGGGGAGAGCACATCCGAGTCTATTTTAGCTCGTGGGTCAAGAGAATTGAAGCTGGAGGAGCGAGGGAAAGGGAGAGAAGCTGGGGCCAGTGCAGAGGAACAGGGCTTTTACACTGTGCATCCAGTGAATCCTGCCTGCTCTCAGGGTATCCATCCTGGGAGCAGACTCCCCAGGACTATCTGCAGGAGAGCGCCATCTTTATCCATACGCAGAATACGCAGCTGCGTAGGGCACCTGAAAGTTTGGGGCACCCCTGGGTCTTAATGCCCATCCATCCACTGCTTCCTATCCCCGTTCTGTGGCTCTGCTTCCTCCGGAGAACATCGAGTTGACTTAAAAGTGACACAGCCTGCAGGAGCGATTAGCAGCACACCGAACCCATGAAAGAGCCAATCGAGTGGCAATGAAGCCATTCAACAGGCATTTGCCAATTCCAGGTACATACTGTCAGTTTCTGAATGTACGGTGTGAGTCAACAGGACCTGAGTTTAACATTTGCTTTAAAACGATCTCATTAATGTACTGATAAAGGTTATAAAATCACAGCTCTAAAAAAATCATGCTCCTCCCCCGGCACTCTCCTGGGGCTGCCATTGGTCACCAGTTTAATAGTACTGCGTAGGGCCCCATAAATCCGAAGGACAGCTCTGCTGCAGGAAGCAAGTCCCTGCACCTGCCTCCCTCTATTCTGGGGGAATCTCCATGATCCCCTGCGCATTTTTCCATAGTAGGAAAGAATTTCCGCCTCCCTTCTTCGTGCTTGTACGCTGAGCACATAAGAGCTGCAGTTGTCACAGAGACAGGCCGACCACACATCCCACTGGGGAATTTTTACAGGGTTGTGAATGTAGCGACCCCATAAGCCAGAGCTTTGGCCACACACTGGCCCAGGAGACCTGGGCTGTGTGAGCATTTCACAGCCAGGGGACCCATGGGAAGGTGCTCCTGGACACGTTCAGGCAGCAGACCATTTTTTGGGGGGAGGGGGGAACTGCCTGGAAGCGATGCCGGGGGAACTGTCTGAGAGGTGAGGAGGCTGAAGAAGCCATATTACAGGCAGCCGCACCAAAGAGCTGGAATTTGTTAATTAACCTCCTGTCAGAGTGAGATGTTACATGTCAGAAGATTCAGACACAATGAAATACCCAAGTCCGAGAGAGCGGGAGAGACCATTCAGAGCTGCGTGGCAGCCAGCCGAATGCATCTGTGAGTGCACAGTTTGTTTGGCAAGACCAGGCTGATAACAGAAAAACGGAGGGGCTGAAGCCTCCAGGGATATTAAACCTGCAAGCTAAGAATTTGGCTCAGGCCTGGAAGAGCTGGAAAGAGGAATTTAACCCCTGTGTAGATACTGCTGTGGCAGAGAAAGAGGAAGAGGTGAAAGAAAAAAAGCTGTTTTGTTACTTGATTGGAGGAAGGAGGAGAGAGATAAGTGAAATTCTGTGAACCAAAATTCCCCACATTCAATGTGCTTTAGAAGCAATAATAGGCTGTTTTGACACTCACTCTAATCCCAGGAAGAATGAAAAGGTGGAACAAAATAATTTCTTTATTTGGGATCCAGCAGCCAAGAAGGAAATAGATGAGTAGGGCTCTGATTTAAACATGCTAGCAGCCAATTGCAGTCTGGGAAATATTAACGATTCATTGATAAGAGACTAGATGGCGTGTGGATACAAGACTTGAAAGTACCAGAGCAGTTACCAAGGGTATGTCTACACTGCCACCCTAGTTCGAACTAGGTTGGCTCATGTAGGCATTCGAACTTGCAACTGAAGCCTGGGATTTAAATATCCTGGGCTTCATTTGCATGTTCCTGGGCACCGCCATTTTTAAATGCCCCGTAGTTCGAACTACCTGCCCGCGGCTACACGCGGCATAGACTAGGTAGTTCGAATTAAAGCTCCTAATTCAAACTACCATTATTCCTCCTCCAAGGAGGCAGTGTAGACATACCCTGAGGGAAGCTCACTTAACTTTGGGGAAAAGGTTGGTGGTAGCCAGGGTTTCGGGGCTATCCAAAGAGAGAATTAGAACCCTGGTAGGGCAATCAGCAGAAACTGTTCAAGTCACATGCAAGAAAAAGAAATCACAATCAGCTACAATGTCAGTCGATGACAATGGTACAGACACAGGTAAGTATTGTGGTGGAAAACATGTAAGATAGGAAGTGAAGTGCTGACGCCCAGTAAGTGAGGAGAGCAACAGTGGGTAGAAGGACTTTACATGAGTGACTGAACAATGCAAGGGGACCCTAGTAAGCACTAGAAACAGGTGTATGTGTAATTCCAACAGGCAGAACTGAACTGGGACCCTCTGGAGCTTAATGCATGAATCTCTACCATTTGAGCTAAAAGCCAGCTGCCGCTCAGATAAGGCTGTAGGGCCAACTTATTCTTTCTCTAAGTGGTCTAAGTGCCACTACATGGGACAGTGAACCATACCTAGTAGGTGTGTGGGTTACATACGCAGCTATATTACTTGGTAAGAAAGTGATATGCTTTCAATTAGATTGTGGCACAAGGTGTAACATTATCCCAGGCAGCCTGTGAACCCTGACATATGATTTGGAAGAGGCCAACGTGAAGCCAATTAAACTACCAAAAAAGAAAAGTACCTGTTGTGTTACTACAGCCACTGAAAAATGAACTGCAGAACCTACAGAATCATGGAATTATACAGCCTGTAGAAAACAGACTAGATGAGCCGTCTTGTGGTGGTAAAAGAGTAACCAAGGTGTCATGCATTGGATATCTGTTGACCTCCAAAGTAGATCTAGAAAAAATGAGGTCAGAGAAATGCCAAAACCCTTTAAGGAGTCCAGATATTCCTGGGAATGGTCAATTATTTAGCTGTCTTTTGCAACAATTTGTCTGAGAACCGAGAGATCCCGAGACAACTGATACATTGAGACATCTTATGGGAGCGGAAAGACTAACTGAGCAAGCATTCTGGAAAGGAAAAGAGATGACTGGAAATATTCCCTTTTTTAAATATTGCAATGCAGAGGTAGTACTTATGCTGAAGTATTATGTATCCGAGTTGGGTCTAAGGGCTACCATGTTGCACATTGCACGTGCACATTGCATGTTGCACATGTTTCATGTGCAAGCAAAGCATTGTCCATGACAGAGAAGGGCCATGCTCACACTGAAAAAAGTTGTTAGCAATATTCTTTGGAATGGAAAAATTTCACCAACATAGCCATGGTCATACAGGGGACATAAAATCTGACCATCAGCCTCTCAGAAGGTCATTATTCAGTGCAACAAAGTTCTTACAGCAGATGATGATGTGGCTGCAAAGATACACGCAATACATCAAATCTTGCCTAGGCAAAGATTTGGGGTTGACAGACACCTTTAGCCATGTGTACCTGTCAGAGATGGAGATAATAAATATGGTAAAGGACGTATCTATCTCAGAAGAAAGGTGGGGAGAGACACTGGGAAATACAGAGCAAGACAGAATGCTGTAGACATGGAAACTCCTAGTCTTACAATGATGGCCAGCTACAAAAGACCAATTACCTAAATTACCAATTACCTAGTGGTGCAATTACTTGCACCATTCTTTCAGAAAAGTGACAGTTTGTATATACTGAATGGCATTAGATTTCAGGGAGAAAGAGGAGTTATTCTGGCAGCTTTTAGAAATGAGACTATACACAAAGTTCATTTGTCTATCTGGGAATTGTAGGTTGCTTATGGTGAGCCAGAGAGCTAAATACTAAATATGAATGAATAGGCAATTATGGACATCTATGGAAAAGTGTGATGTGTGAAGATCCTGGGAAGCTGTGGAATTGCTGTCAGGAAATTTTTAAGAACTGGTTAGACCAGCACCTGTCAGTGAAGGTCTAGATAATACTTAGTTGTGCCTCAGTCAGGGGACTGGACTAGATGACCTCTCGAGGTTCCTTCCAGCCTTACATTTCTGTGATTCTATGATGCTGGTATGGAGGCTATGCAATTGAAGTTTTCTTCACACTGTACAGATGACCTCTTGTGCCCAAAGGCAGAATGGCAGGCCCATGTAGGGATCTTTCACACATTTAAAGATTTCAAGTGACAGCTGCAATTCCATCATTTACCTAGCTCAAAGCAGCAAGCGATCTCTGCCCCACACTGCAGAGGCAGGGGTGAAAAAACCAACCCAACAACCCTGAATCTCAGGCTGCCAATCTGACCTGAGAGAAAATTCCTTCCCAACCCCAAATATGGTGATCAGTTAGACCCTTACATCCATTCCGCTCCCATTCGTCGTTGTTATTTATGCTTTGCCAAAGTGTTGCTTAGTCAAAGAAATTTCCATCAGGGAAACAGTGATGGTCAAGGACTCTGGTGCAGGGACTCTGTCAGAAGCTGCTCAGTACCTGGTGCTGTGCCTTCTGAGCCCTGGTTTCTAGGGGCTGTCAGAATACAAATAATAATCGGATTGTGTGTCAGAGGTTGCCGGAGAATGATGGAAACTGTACTCCGTGACCCAGGAGGTCCTTCAAATCCTATGGCTTATGTGACTCCCAACTCACACGGAGAGAGGCAGGAGCTAGACATTCCGGCAATGTAAAATCAAAAGAAGTCCTGTGCACACACGGGAGGGGTGGAAGAAGGGGATTCCACACCCTTCCTGCTGGATCTACTTTTCCACTGACCCTGGCACTTCAGAGCTGGATTAAAAGCTCCAAGGAAGTGCCAGCCCAGCCTACCTTATTCCCCTGCACAACAAGGAATTTGTTTCTTCCAGGGAATCATGGACTCAGGACGTCCTCTCATTTGGAGCCACACAAAAAGAGGCACACGCCCAGCAAGTCACAGCAAACTTTTTACTTGGGGAATGTTTTAAATTAACAGGGTTTTTGTGGTCCTCTCCGAACATTCCTCTAAGGTAGCTTTGGGCACACAGGGCCATAAACCTTCAGCAGCATGACCTATGTCTGGGTGTACGTGAAGGGATCTTGGTCCGTGTCGGGGTATATGCGAGAGGTCCACTTCTCCTTGGGGCGTCAGTCCCCTTCTGGCCCCAGCCAGCTGCTTGTCCTCTTGTGAGTGTCACTGCCGGGGTAACCAGGGTTTCACCAATGCCACAAGCGTTGCCCATGTTTCATGTGGCAAATGCTTCTGCTGCTCACACCCATCAACTAAAAGTGCCAAGGAGCACCCCCGAGAGGTAGGAATGTGCAGCTTTCCCTCTGGCTGCTCCTGGGATCACTGAAAATCCTACATTCAGGGGTCAATTCCACGTTATGGGCGCAGCTTAGTCCAGCCCTTCGGCCTTTAGCACCTAAAGATGCAGCTGTATCTCATAGGCCAAGAAAAACAGAAAACAGGACATCATGCCTGAATGGAGACCAAAATCCAGGCACTTGGGCAGGGAGACCTGGTGAGTCACAGATCTGCACGGATGCCATATGTGCTCTTCCCTGCATTTTCCCTTTTCACATGCTGCTTGAGCACCTTGCTTTTTGGGCCAAAATCTGATCCTTTAGCTAGGATTAATAATAATAAAATAGAAATCATGTCTAGCTCTTGCCTAGCACCTTTCATCAATCGGTCTCAAAGTGCTTTACAAAGGAGAGTATACGGGGAGACCGAGGCACAAGGAGGTGAAGTGGCTGGCTTCCCCAGCAGGCCAGTGGATGAGCTCAGAATAGAACCAAGTCCCCTGAGACCTGACCTAGTACACTAACCACTAGCCCCCACAGCCTCCCTTGAAAAGGATTCCTTTTAAAAAAGAACCCTGTTGATAACACTACACAGCACGGCTCACTGCCAAAACGTGTTACAGAAACAACTTCATCTCTGGGTGGGAAAGTGTTATCACCCCCCTCCCCTGTCACAGATGGGGAGAAACGGAGGCACAGAGAGGTTACGCCTAGGGCAGTGGTGGGCAAATACCAGCCTGTGGACCGGATCCGGATCACCAGGATCAGCCCTTGGTGGGCTGCCACTGCTATATTTACCTGCGCCTCCGCAGGTACAGGGGATTGCTGCTCCTGTTGGCTGCGGATCATCGTTCCCGGCCAATGGGAACTGCGGGAAGTGATGTCACAGTCCACACCACTTCCCACAGCTCCCATGGGCTGGGAACAGAAGCGCAGGTAAATATAACAATAGCAGCCCTCCAGGGGCTAACCCTGGCAAACAGCGGTCATTTTATTGCCCTCCCCCATGCCAGGCCTGTGCTTTGACCAATAATCCATCTACTCTTCCCTCCCTTGGGGCTAAATAGCTTACGCCTGTTTTATATCAAGTGCAGACTGTGGAGGTGTGACCTTAAAGATTGGGTATCTGGTGAACAAATGGCTCTGGTTTGCCTTCACATAGCAGGGAGGCAGATTACATTCTCTAGGGAGGCCCAGCCTGTAGGGCACTGACCACACAGCCCTGCCTAGCTCAGCACTGTCAGTTCAGGCATGTGCAGGTGCCAGAGGGTGAGCCACGGTGACCTGCTTGAGTGTCAACAGGTGTAACTGGAGCAGAGAGATAGCAGGTGAGGGAGGTCACTGAGCCAGCCAGCACCCTGAGGAGGCAGCTGGGTTACCTCTACTAGGCTTTGAGCAGAGCCAGATTTAGAGGGGGGTTTAGCAGGTTAATGAAGCAGTAGGGGCCCCAATACACAGGAGCAGCCCGATGTGATCTGGCTGGATTGGTCCAATCTAAGCACGTAGAGAAAAGGCTCGTCTTCTCAGTGTGCTCAGCAATGTTCCCTCTTATCTCTTTCATCCATGTGCAGAATAATTTTGTATGTGCACCTGTGAAAATGTGCACCATCCGTTGAAACACAAAACCCAGTTGTGGGTGCTCTACTAATCAGCTGGGCAGCATCTGAATCTCTCCTGAGCGGCCGCACAAGTGCCCTGCTCACAGGGAACATGGATGCTCTCTACATGTCATGAGTTGCTAGGTTGGCTGTGAAATGTGAAACCGGATTGCTGTGGTCATCCCCCATGGCTGAACACAAAAACAGAAGTGAATGGGCTCGGGTCAGCGATTTCAGTGCTGAGTGAGGACTCAGAGGCATGTCAGCAGTCCCCAAATGTCCCATTCAGCAGCATTTCTTCTTGGGCTGGTCATCAGGAGTGAGCTTGATGGAGTCTGTTAGGTAGTTTTCGAGAATCCCTTGGTACTGGAAAAAAGACAAGAGGAAATAAAACTGTTCTGGGTTTTGCTTTGAAAAATGTACTTGCTTTACTACAGTCCCTCTGAATCCTAAGCTTCCCCAGGAGAAATCATCTGATTTCAGGTTGCTTCCTCACCCAAGTTTCTCTGAGGTTCACAAACCCTTTGAGGAGGATAAATCTGCCTCGGGATAAACCTCCAGAACCTGGGGCTGAGTATTGAGCTGAAATATGAGTGATCTCAGACTGATTTATGATTTGGGATGAAAAGAAGGAAGCACACACAAGAGATGTGCTAGTCAAGCATCTGAATGAAGGGGATGGTTTGATGAGATAACAGGATCTTGGTATCTAATTGACCATTCATTATCAGTGGGAAATAGGTCAATGGAGGGATGATAGGAGTTACTATAGAGAACTTTCTGGGTGTCTGGCTGATGAGTCTTGCCCACATGCTCAAGGTTTAGCTGATCGCCATATTTGGGGTCGGGAAGGAATTTTCCTCCAGGGTAGATTGGCAGAGGCCCTGAAGGTTTTTCGCCTTCCTCTGTAGCATGGGGTACAGATCACAGCTAGAGGATTCTCTGCATCTTGGGGTCTTCAAAGTATTTGAAGGATTCAATATCTGAGATATAGGTGAGAGGATTATTCTAGGAGGGGTGGGTGAGATTTTGTGGCCTGCACTGTGCAGGGGGTCAGACTAGATGATCATAATGGTCCCTTCTGACCTTAAAGTCCATGAGTCTATCTACACTGGCCCCTTTTCCAGAAGGGGCATGTTAATTTCAGAGATCGTAATAGGGAAATCCGCGGGGGATTTAAATATCCCCCGCGGCATTTAAATAAAAATGTCTGCCGCTTTTTTCCGGCTCATTAAAAGCCGGAAAAAAGCGGCGGACATTTTTATTTAAATGCCGCGGGGGATATTTAAATCCCCCGCGGATTTCCCTATTACAATCTCTGAAATTAACATGCCCCTTCCGGAAAAGGGGCCAAAGTAGACGAGCCCTATGAGTCTATGAGTCTATGAATGCTTTCAGACACCAGAGTGATGGGCAAGGTATCTGACTCTGAACAGAACAGAACTGCAGAAAACCTGGTAGCTTCATCTGAGATTCCTTCTGAGTTTCAATACTTCTTCACGAAGAACATGGGACTGAAATCACAAAAAAGTTTGCATGACCCCACGTGGAATGAAAATGCTCTCACTTACATTACCCTGCAGAACCTTCTGTACAAATGGGACAGTGGCCCTTGCAATTAGAGAGAGTAATATTCTCTACCCATCATGGTGTTGTACAGGCATCCACAGACCACAGACATCATGATTTTCCAACAGAGATAACTTAGCAATATTTCAGGGCAAAGGTTGTAGGCTTAAGTTAGTTCCATTTAAAGCCTGTAGAGTTTAGTTTAATACCAGCCTTCTCTTCTGGGCAGACCCTTTACTTTAAATTTAAAGTAATTTAAATGCTAATTCTGACCTTGGGAAAGGGCCAAACTTTGAATAGGCCCGTCATATTTTTTGCCGGAAATTTGTAGATTTAAACAAATACAGTCACAGTGTGTGCCCTTTTCATGTGCACTGGTTTGATTTCTGGGCACAGTCTGGGTGCTCTAGTTAAGCATGTAATTAACCTCAGTTGTACGTACCAGCAAATACTTGCACATGCTAAATTGCTGTCTTAAAATGGAGGAGAGTGTCTAAGTGACAGGCCTTTAGGCCCAGTGCTTTCCTTCCTCTATCGATTTCATCGAGATGACCTGCAGAGGGCGCTGTTAGTTTACAAAGCTATCCTAGCCACTCCTGGAATCCCTCATGAGGGATCAAAAAATTAAAATGTCGATAAAGAATTTAAAAAAAAATTAAATAGCAAAATATTTCTTATTTCCTTCACTTGTAGAATTGTTTGATCAACAGTATTTATGCAAACATTTCTTTCATTGTTTATTGCTCCATGTTTTGCAAACAGGAAATATTCAACACTGAATTTTTTCCATCAGGGTGGTCACAAGATGGATTTTTAAAAAAATATTTGAAACTAAAATCAAGGACTGAAAATAAATCCAATTAAGCACTGAAAATATTTTTTTTAAAATGATGAATGATACATTTGCATTTTTGACTAAAACAACTGGAGAATATAAAAACCACGAGAATTGGTGATGAGTCACCATCCAATCTGATCGCTCCCTTAGGTACATATTTAAAGCCAAAGGCAAATTCAGGAGGGTTTTAGTTTAAATGGCACCACGTTATCACTAGCTGTTCCCATAAAACTCTGGCCCAAATGATGAAAAACAATCCATAACTCCCAGTTAATACTTTTTATCAGTGGCTCTCAAAGTACTTTACGAAAGAAACCAGTATCACAATCCTCATTTTATAGATGGGTAAACTGAGGCACAGCACTGGGATGAGGTTAGCAACAGAACCCAGGTTGCACACGGACTCTAGGCCCTGCACCGCTACTCACCCTCGACAGGGCCTGCCTTGCGAGCGTCTCAAAGGCCTGTACTACGTTGATATCGTTCTTGGCACTGACTTCGAAATACGGGATGTCCTTTTCTTTGCACCAGGACGAGGCTGTCTCCTTGGGCACCTGGGACAGGAAAGGGGAGGGAGTCACCTTATTCATAAGCAGCCCCTAAAGAAGTCACCAGGCCCAGTGCATTGTAGGTTTGCCAGGTATCCGATATTGTCCCGGACAGTCCGGTGTTTGCGGCCTCTGTCCAGTAAAAAAAAATCCCACAGGAAATACTGGACGTGTAAAATGTCCTGCATTTTCTGTTTTTCTTGGACAGAAGGCCGCTTGTGACACTTTTCCCCTGCCGCATCTAGCGGGGGCAGTGTGGGGATTTTAAGGCACAGTGACTGCGGGGGGTTTTTTCTCAACAATTTTGGTCTTGTTTTTTATTTGTTTTGTTTTGTTTTGTTTTGCTCGACCAATTTTTTCCCCTTCATGTTTGGTACTTTTTGTGAAAGTATCTGGCAACCCTAGTCATGGGGGGCAGCACTGGGATGGTGCTGAGCACCCTGCATACCCATTGAAACCAATGAGAGCCTCGTGCATGGTTTCAGGATGAGGCTCTCAGTGCAGGCTGGCAGCTCAGCTGCGTCTCCTGACACAGGGCCAAGTGCCGGCCGGTGCGGAGCATACTCGTGTCAGGCACACAGTGTTCGGTACCTTGTCGCTCTTTGAGGACCCTGATCTTCTGGGAGGACGCATTGAGGGGCTCAGTGCAGCTGCATGCCTTGCTTTGCCGCTGACAGGATGCCCACCTAACAAAAGCAGCAGCACCAGGCCAGCTCAGTGCCGTGGTGACCTTCAGCCAGGTCATGGGAGGCCGTGGCGGGGAAATAAGTGGGTGTCCATTATGGGGTGACTGGCCCTTTAAAGGGGGATGAATTTCAACCCCACCTGGGACCCAGTCAGCTCTCCTCCTCAGGTGGGGAAAACGAAGCAAGTCATGTGACCCAGTCAGAGTTCTACCTTATTCACCTCCCAGGCCTAAGGCAAAAGGGGACATGCTGCGGCTGTGAGGAACTAGAAGGGAGCACAAGGTAGGAAGAGGAGATTCCTTCAGCATCCTGGGCAGGGGGGGGGCTTCTGGAATCTCACAGCTGAGCTACTCCTGTAGGATTTGTCTTAATTATTAGTAATGATTTTCCTTGCCCAGCTCCCAGACAGGAATTTCTGGTTTATTGGATGTAAGTCAGATATCAGGGTTGGTAACACACATAAACCTATGGGGGATATTTTAACCTGCCTGGGCACTCACTGATGGATTTAAAGATAGCCATTCTTCTATAGAGGAATTCCACAAGCCTACTACAGAGATAGAGAGAGTGCAGAATTGACCATCATATGCAAATTTGACACTGTGCGTCTCTGAGCTTGAACAAAGACATTAACTGGATAGCCTATTCTAAAACCAGCCTTCCTTACATTTAATACCTCATTGAAATCAAAAGCTAAGGATGGAACATGTCTAGCCTACTCAATTAGCCTCATTAGCACCTGCACTACTATTGTCAGGAACTTTCTTTTTCTTTCCTTGCCCTTCTTTTTTTCTGTTATAATTCTGATAGTCCCCCTTTTTTCTCCACTCAAGCTCATCTGAAGAAGTGGGTTTTTCCTACAAAAGCTCATGATCTCTCTCAATATAAGAAAACATTTCCTGTGGGATGACAGAGTGACGTTAGCAAGTCACTCAGCGTTCCGCTACACCTTCCCCCTCAGCCGCTGGGTGTCCTTCCTTCCTCCCTCTCCTCCCCGGTGTTTCAGGAGGCGGGAGCCACACAGCCTCTCCAGTGCTCTGGGGAGGTGGAAGGGGGCTGGTGAGTGTAGCAAGCAGGAGCTGCAGCTCCCTAGTACTAAATCTATTTTTGTTAGTCTCTAAGGTGCCACAGGACTACTCATTGTTTTCAAAGTTACAGACTAACACAGCTACCCCTCCGAGATTGGCTTATTGGTGAATTAAAAGCCTGGCCTGCTCCAGACTAAATACTCCCATAACTATGGCTTCTAAAGGAGGTACCCCTTCCTGGTGCCTAAGTTTTGGGGATCTCAATTTGAGACACACAGGAGGGGCCTGATTTTCAGAGGGTGGGAGGCTCAGCTCTTTTTGGAAATCAGAGCCCTTGAAGGCACCCAAGAGCAATAGCCACATCTAAAAATCAAGGCTTGACATGGAGCTTGCGCTGGGTCATTCCTTTTGAAGAGAGTTAGATGCTGCTGAAAGCTGTGTGATTGACAGCTATGGAGAGTGGAGTCCTGTGACATTCACGGTAGCTCTACAGGCAGAAGGAAAGTGATTTTCCCCAGTGTGCTCCAGCCCTGACCTGCAGACACCTCCAGAGTGCTATGAAATTTAGTGAAAGAAATCTAGCCCTACCCTTCCCACCTTCCATGGTCAATTCTTCTGAGCCCTTGTCTGGGACCAAGCTCCTTCCTTACCTGCCGTTCCTTTAAGTCGATTTTATTTCCCAGCACCACCATGGGGAAGTCCTGCTCTGTGGGGATAATCTTCTCCAGGAAGTCCTCTCTCCAGTCATCCAAGGACTCAAAGGAGTCCCGGTCTGTGACGTCGAAGGCCAGCATGCAGCCGTCCGAGCCCTTGTAGAACGTTGACACCATGGACCGGAACCGTTCCTGCCCCCCCGTGTCCCAGATCTCAAGGGAGAGAAGGGCAGAGACGCACAATGTTAATGACTGCTATGGGGTGACTGGTGGACAGGTTTCAATCCCACCTGTGACCCGGCCAACTCTCTGTCCCAGGTGGGGAAAACAAAGCAGGTGGTGTAACCCAGTCAGAGTTCTACCTTATTTACCTCAGAGGTTGAAGGAGAAAGGGGAAATGCTGTTGGCAGATGGTGTGGAAAGGCTGCATGGAGCTAGAAGGGAGCACAAGGAAGGCAGAGGCCTTAGAAGACTCCCAACAGGAAGGAGTGAGGGGGTGTGTCTGGGAAGGAGCAGTGCATAACTGAAAGAAATCCAGGAGGGGTTGGGAGAGAGAGGCAAAGGGACCTGCAAAGGGCTGGGCAGATGAATGAGGGCAGAAGATGAGTCCCTTGGGGAAGAAGGGCTGGGCCCAATTTGAGACTGGGGAAAAGACTTTGTGTGTTGTTGGTTTTGAACGTCTGTTGCCCCGGAAGTTGGGCTTTTCATGAAGGTCTTAGTGGAAGGGCCAAGGCCCCGCCGCAGCCCAACTAGGCTGTGGAGTTTACTGCGGAGCCCTGAGAAGGGAAAACTCGGGCAGGGCTGTGCAGAGACCCTCCATGCTAGGAAGAGGTGCTCTGGAGGCAGTGACCTGCTGACAGGGGAGCCAACAAACTCCAGGGGCCCCTGGGTGAGGTAGGGGAGCCTGCTCCATGTTCCCGGAAAGGAAGGGGCCTCAGGGCCCTCCAGAGCACAGCACCCCGCCTCACCAGCCCTCAGTGCTGCCTGGAGTACGCTGCCCTCCGGCAGTGATTTAAAAAGCCCAAGGCTTCAGTCGCTGCTGCTGCAGCAGCTGGGAAGCCCTGGACACCTTTGAATTGGTGGGCCCTGGGATAAACCACCCCCTTTCCCCCCCAAGAGTGGCCTTGCCTGCTGACAGTGAGTGTAGACTATCTGTAGCCCATGCTCCACTAAGCTATCAAGGGCCTGGTTTCCAGAGATGCTGAGCACCTGCAGCGCCTCTTGACGTCAGCAGAATCCATTGGTGCTCAGGACCACAGACCCATCCAGCCCACACCTGCCACGGCTGAAATGTTCCCACTGATTTTGAAGGAGGAGGCCCTGAATGATGCCAGTTTGTGCACCAACCTGTTAGGTGGATGCCACCTGGAGCTGCGCACATACCCCCCGGTCAAAGACAGGCTCCTTCGGCGTGGACAGAGGTCAGAGACCACACACAGCAGTGCCTCACCTGCAGCTTGAGAGGGTTGTTGTCCACCGTGATGTGCTTGGAGAGGATGCTGGCTCCCAGGGTAGTCCGATAATCTTCATAGAATGTCTTGTGCACAAACTGGTGCAGGAGGGAGGTTTTCCCCACGCTGGAACAAGGGAAAAGACCACACACACAGACAGGCATTAGCCTCGGGGCTTCTGAGTCGCGCTACAGAATCAAGTGCAGGGAATTAGCCTGGAGCCTCACTGATTGCTGTTGTGAGAGAGAATGATGGGGCCGGAACGCCAACCACTCTGTCTTGCCATTGTCACCTCATCTAGTCTGCGCTGAAGTTAGCTTGGGTCTTGGATGTATGTAGCCAGCCTGCAGACTGATCTGTGGACTAGTTTGGTTTGGGGGGACGGGTACCATACTGGACGTACAGGAAGATTAGAATGTGAACCTCCCTATTTAAGGGCTTGACACTTTTAATGCTGTAAATTGCCCGTGTTCCACAGAGGCCTTAGAGATGACTGTATAAATAGTTAAAAAATAGATCAGAGACTCCTAGATGCTAAAGACCAAACCCCACTTTCTCATTTACACTGAGGCCTCCTTTCACCATTCTAGCAGGATAAAGGGGCTTGGATGGGGGGACTCATTTAGCCTCAATGAGAACAAAGCTGTTTGGACACCAGGCAGGAGGATTCTGCTTACCCCAGTGATCCTATGATAATTATCTTCAAATCCACTTTCCTGCTGGAATCCATGAAGGGAACCTGGAGGATGGAACAGGAGACAATGACTAGACTTCCCATCTCAGCCGCTATGAGACACAGAGAGAGCAATGTTCCCTCTAACCTTTCCATCCATGGGTGTTTTTTTTCAGTGTGTGGAATAAATTGTATGTGCACTAAGGCATGTGAAAATGTGCACCACCTTGAGAAACACAAACTTAGCTTTGAGCACTCTGCTAATCAGCTGGGCAGCACTGGAATTTCTCCTGAGCGGCCACACAAGTGCACAGGGAACACTGGTAGAGAAGGGGAAATCCACCACCAGGCCAATACACTGTTTCATCCAAAGGCCATGTGGTAACCAAAACTACTGTTGCTGAGCGCTGTGGTTGAAGAGCCGCCTTTCGGATGGAAATTTTCAAACCCACGTTAGGGTCAGAGTCCCAGCACTTGTGAAAACCTGGCCTTTATTTAGATGCCTAAAATGGGAAGTGACATCTTTTCGGAAATTACATCCAGTCGCCAGTTGTGCATAGCGTGTGCTAGAAGATGGGCAAAGCAGGTGCTTGGAGTGCTGGGTTCTTCCAGCTCCAGCGTTGGTGGGGTCGCTGTAGCACTCAAGTCGTACATTTTGAATAACAGCGGATGGCTTTTCTAGATTTGCTTAAAGGTGGATACCTTTTTGGCACAGTTGCAATAAAAGAGCAACTCTGCAATTTCTAATTTAGCCCCTAGGCGACAGTTGAGGGCAGAGGCGTTGCACCCCATGGGGCTCCTCATGCCAGGGGTACACCTCCCAATCTGCCCCTCTCCCACTTGGCCAGGAAGACTTAACCTGCAGACTGGAATATATTGGCACTGCCCTCCTGCCGTTGCACGTCCCTTGCTGTGCTGTCTCCGGCCACCACAGTCCCTGGCCAGCATCTGGCAAACAGGCTGCTCCCCCACCTGCCCTCTTAGCTTACCAGCCCTAGCTCTTAAGCTGCCTGCAGCCAGCACGCAGGCTCCCGGCTAAGCCAGACCCTCTCTACCCTCTGGACATCACGTCATTTTCTGCATGCTGGGCACTCTGGCTGGATACGGAGACAGGAATGACAGTGCCCTCCACTAGCTGACTCCTCTTCTGCCAGCTTTACATTGTGCATAGGCATAAGGTTTTTAAGGGGGAGCAGTGCCTGTCAAGCCAAAAGAGCTGTGTGTGTGTTTGGGGGAGGAGGGAAGACGGCAAATTCCGTGCCTGCCTGAGGCTTGGGGAGGGCAATGTCTCTCTCTTCCCCCCCGCCCCCCCCCCGACTGCAGCCACGGTGCTGTGTCATGTGTGTTACCCTTGGTCTGCCATGTGCAACCAACTCCCACGCTTGTAGGAACTGCATCTTCCCCGGATTGCAAGAGCTGCCTTGCAGAAAAGGATGCTAGGCAGCAGTGACAGTAACTTAACCTTTCTTACAGGCGCTGCCCTTTTGCCACCTGGGTCCCTGCCAGCTCTTTCGATAGCTTCCTGCTGGTTTTTGCCGCCGGCTCTTGTCGGAGCTGTGCCTCAGGGTGCACCTGCTTCCTTTCACCTCGGCCGCTAGGCCTTGCTCTGGCCCTCGGCACAGAGCTGAATTTCACCCCATGGGGAATCTCCCCTCTGCCATCCCTACCTGTCTCCTCAGAGGCTGCTTGGCGCGGTGGGAGAGCCTTCACCATGGCGCTCCGCAGCTTGGGTCAATGGGCCACGCTCCTGAGGCGATCCCAGCCCCTGGCCCGCTGTGCGCCAGCCTTTGTCTCGCACCCCTTTCACGAGCCAACCCCCACCCGTTGTGCTGAGCCTGCCACGGCCACAAAGGCAGAGGGGGCTGGAGGCAGGCCGCACACAGGCCCACAGCGCCTGCCACAAGGAGCCTATTGTGAGTGGGACCAACAGACCTGGCAGTGTTTGTGCTGTGTGTGTGACGCAGCTGCTGCTCCCCCCACTGGCCTTTATCGCTGCTGCTGCTGTTCAGACCATGCTTCTGTCTCCACACCCCAGAGGGGTGTCGCCTGGCGCCCCGGGCGCTATTTTGTCTGCATGGCGCTGGGGATGTCAGGTGCCATTTCGAGGCCTCTGAGACCAAGGCTGCGAGACTGTTTTTCACTTGATGTCACAGCCAGGAGACTACAGTGTAGAGACCCCACAACTACACCCCGTCTTCACCACTACTTTGTCCCCTCACCTCTTCCCTACCCTTTCCTATGTGTCTGCTCAATCCCTGGCTGGATACTGAGCTGTCTAGGGCTTACTTGTTTGTACAGCTCCCACTGCAGGGAGGTCTTGCTCCCTGTCTGAGGCCTCTAGCAGTGGTACAGGGACAGCTTTTGGAGTGGGAGTGCAGACCTGCACCCCCCTTTACTCCATCTGTGCCCTTCACCACCCGATACAGTTGGGGCCAGAAGCTAGGACCCCACATGCAGGGCCTGGAGATGGAGCCCTGGGCATGGGACCAATAGCTTGTTGGGACTCCAGAGCTCAGCGGGATGTGGGGGGCTGGCAGCCTAGTGAGGCACAGGGAGGGGCAGTGGCAGGGCTGAGCAAGGAGCTGTGGGGATTGGCAGTTGGACTGAGTGAGGGGTCGGGGTCGGTGGTGGGACTGAGCAAGGGGTCGGCGGCAGGGCTGAACGAGGGGGCGGCAGCTGGCAGCCATGCTGAGTGGGATATGGCGGGGCTAGTGGTAGGGCTGAGTGGGGAATGGGGGCCCAGTAGCAGAGCCCCCCAGGCTGCAGGGGTACAGGTCCAGTGGCCAGGACCCTGGGCACCAGAGGTGTGGAGCTGGGATGCCCAACAACAGGGGGTTCTGCAGCACCCCCTGCACTCCTACTTCCCACCCCTATGGTCTCTAGTTACTATTCAATAATAGTTTAAAAATCATCATAATAAAACAGCTGTGAGAAACTTACGTGAAACTTCCCTGGCTTTGGGTTTCATTACAGCCCTGAAACCTAGGTCCCTCCCACGCAGCCGAGCTGAATGTCAGAGGAGGCTGGGCCACAAAGTATTTGGTAAAAGGGCGCGTATCCCTGCTAACTAATCTTTCCTGGCTAGCTTTCAACTGAGAACTGCATGAACCACTGATTTGGGAGAGCAACGGCGGCTCCTGGTGTTCCAAAGAGCAAGTCAGATGGAGTGAACCCAGCCTACAAACCTGAAGAGGTGATGATTCATCATGCTTCCATTCCAGGGGTGACTCATTCTTTTTTTGGCCAGTAGAAGGGTTCACCATTCCATGGTGCAGGGCAGGACATCACGGAGCAGTACTGAACCTGAAAAAACATGGTTTGAAAAACACCTCCGTTCCCACTTCTGTTTCACAGAGCTACATACTAAAATAGTACTGCCAGCTGCCATGCAGACTGGGGCTCCGGTTCAGCTTTCACCCGTGCTTTCTCCAGAGCACAAGAATGCTCAGATACCAGCCTCAGCCTGTTAGCAGGGACAGGGGCTGTCTGCACATTTTGGATTTGGTTTCAGATTGCAAAGTTCAAGGGTGTTCTGATAGGTTCTTGGTTCAGGCCCATCTCCTGTTCTAAGAGGTTGGACTGATGCACTGTGAATTCTTAACTCTATAGCTGCTGCTGCAAAACTGCAGAACTCACTAGTAAAGTCCCAGTCCCCTAGAAGCAAATTTGGCTTGTTCTGCAGTAACTTGGAGCAATCAACCAGCCAGGAAGTGTGGAGAGGAGAAGACAGGCTTGGGAGAGAAGCTACATAGATAAGAGCCTAGTCTAAGAAAGGCATATCACACTGGGACACACCAGTGCTCTAGCGTCCTTTGGTACATATGGCACGAGTGGTTTTGCCTTCCAGATGAAGGCGACCCCTCTCCTCTTATGGTCAACTGTGCAATACCAGAAAATGCGGGGCAGGGAGATTTCTTTTCCTCAACATTTGGTTATTGGCGTCTGGCCACGAAGCGTGAGAATTGGGCAAAGATCCACACCTGGATCAATACCTGGATAACAGGCATCTGAGAGAGGATCAGCACAGATCATGGAGAGAAACAGTTGAGCTGGCCTGGATAAAAGTAAGACCTGATGGAAATCACTGGCCAACAGCCTAGACTGACCCTTACTAGGAAGTGTGGTAGGTGGGTCTGAAAATGTTGAACTTCAGGTCTCATTGCCCTGAACGAGTCTGCCAGCACCAGTGCAAACCCAGTGCCAGTTGAATACTCAGCCCTCCCAGTGTGAGACAAGGGAATCACTCCAAGCCTTGCTGCATCCCTATCAAGCGATGGCCATTCATCACAGAGTCCCAGGAGTAAGGGACAGCTTTGACAACATGGTGCTGCCATCTGCAAATAACTCGTGAAATAACTTTCACTAGCATGGCATTATTTGTCTTTGTTGACTCTAAATAGGGATGTTAACTGGTTAACCAATAAACATGAGGCTTACTGGTTAACCATCCCTTACTGGCAGGCCCTGTGGCAGGCCCTAAGTTAAATGGTTAACCATTTAAACATCCTTAACTCTAAATACATCCACTAAACTAATCCCACCCTGACCCTGTTGTGTATGGGACGGAGGGGTGTGTAAAATGAACAGACGGACGCACATTGGGCATCTTCTGGTGGCTAGCTGGCATCTGTCTGCCTGACATAATGGCACCACTGAAGATTTAGGGGGGTTTTTTACACTTAAAAGTTATTTTGGGTTAACTTGAAGTGTTTTCTGGTAAATTGCTTTGAGTCCACACATGCTCTTCAGCCAGTTTTGTCACTTCCAGCTGCAAGTGACAGGGTAGGGTGTCCGTGCATGTAAATAGTACTGCCAGCCTGCATCAGGAGTGTGCAGAACTGCCTGGGCACATGTGGAGGCTGTGTATGAAAGGAGGCTCAGGCTGGGTGGGGGGATGGCTGGGCTCGCGAAGTGTCACAGAGCTGCACAGGCGTGGGTACGGTGGGCAGTCCCACAGATAAGTCCGAGCTAAGTAATGTTCCGTCCATGGCAGCTGCATTTACACAAGGGAGCATCCGGCTCCCTGCTGCACAGCTGCAATCTTAACTGAGAGTCTTTCAGAAACCAAGGTCTCCATTAACCCTTCAGATGGCCACAAACACGGACTACAAACACTATATTTTAGTCCTAGGGAGTTCTGCAATTTTACTATGGCTCTAAATAAATTGCAGAATTCCCTTAGGACTAGTATTTGATACAGTTAGATAACTAGGAGAGGCAACTGAGAGGGGGGTGTTTATACAAAAAGCAGAGAGGAAAAATTGGATTGATTTTGGCTTCATTTTATAGATGTCCTGTTTTTTTTTTAAACCCTGTATTTTAACTTAGAAATATCAGGAAGTTTTAGTCTTGTTTGGCTTTTGGTCTTGCATGTGGACAGGGACACTCTCAGCCTCCAACAGAAGGAGAATCTTCCATAAGAATGGTTTTCTCCTAACGGTTTGCTAGATGTTGGAGTCAAATGGTTGCTAACAAAAAGGAAGCAGAGCTTTAAACCCTCTGGTGAAAAATCATTCCCCATCACAGTCAACATAATTTTACTTGTTAGACTCAGTGCCTGTGATGCTACAACCAACCAGTTCTCTGGTTGTCTACAGTCTCCCAGGAAAGCCTGATAACACAAGATCTAAATGTTTATTGTATTAAAATAAGCAGAAAAAGAAAAGCAAATAAAAAGAACATAAGAATGGCCAAAGGTCCATCTAGCCCAGTGTCCTGTCTGCCGACAGTGGCCAATGCCAGGTACCCCAGAGGGAGAGAATACAATCGGTATCCTCATGCGATCCCTCTCCTGTCACCCATTTCCAGACAAACAGATGCTAGGGACACCATTCCTACCCATCCCGGCTAATAGCCATTGATGGACCTAACCTCCATGAATCTATCTAGTTCTTTTTTGAACCCTGTTAAAGTCCTAGCCTTCACCACATCCTCTGGCAAGGAGTTCCACAGGCTGACTGTATGCTGTGTGAAGAAATACTTCCTTTTGATTGTTTTAAACTGGCTACCTATTGATTTCATTTGGTGACCCTTAGTTCTTGTATTGTGGGAATAAGTAAATAACTTTTCCTTATTCACTTTTTCCACACCAGTCATGATTTTATAGACCCCCCCTATCCCCCTTTAGTCTCCTCTTTTCTAAGCTGAAAAGTCCAAGTCTTTTTAATCTCTCTTCATATGGGACCCATTCCAAACCCCCAATCATTTTTGTTGCCCTTTTCTGAACCTTTTCCAATGCCAATATCTTTTTTTTTAAATGAGGCGACCACATCTGTACACAGTATCCAAGATGTGGGCATACCATGGTTTTATATAGAGGCAATAAGATATTTTCTCTCTTATTCTCTATCCCCTTTTTAATCCTCCACTGATGTGGAGAAGAAACCTGGTTCTGGTGTGTGTGCAGATCCCTTGAAGTTCCCTGCTTGTCCTTCCAATCAAGAATTATTTCAGCCCCCTCATTGCCCTGCGCTGAGAAGTTCAGAGGCGGGCTGGAGCAATGTAGAAGGCCTGGCTGATTCTAAAGCATGGGACTTCGGTCTGTAACTGGGTCATCCTATGTCCAGAATCATACTGGTGCCCATTCCTCCTTTCCCCAGGTCACCTCCCATCTCTCTACTCTGCCTTGGATTCCCTTCTTTTCCCCTTAGTCCTTGCTCAAGAGAGCTTCTTGCCCATGAGCAGGCCGGCAGTCCACTCTCTGGACTATTGGCTTCCTTCTGACTGACCCGCCGGCCTCTTTTTGCAGCTGCACTTTTCTTACTGTCTGGGCGCTACCCTGAATTAGTGCCTAATTAAAGTAGGGAGCCACTGCTGATGCTGAGACTCCCCCCTAAGTGAGCCAGGCCCGTTTCTAAGCACTAAGCACTGCACTGAGAAGCAGATGGTAATAGTTAGGGACAGTGTCCAATCCCTGCATTTTTCCCTGATGCGTTGTCTAAAGCTGCCCTACTTTACCGACATCTGAAAAGGGCATAGGTTTGACTCTGCCCAAGTGCCTCTAGGCATGCAGCCTGACCTCTGTGCAGAGATCTACACACTGCTGAGCTTTCTGTCAAGAGAGCCATTATCTGTCGGTCTGTCTAACCATGCCGGGAGCACCCGCCCACCGCTGTAGTCTCTCGTGCTGGCTGATGCCTAGAAATCCAAAAGCCACCAAGTGTTTTGCCATTTCTGGAAAACTTTGTTTGTTGTCTACTCATTCTGAATGTGGTTAGCAAAACCAGATTTACTCTTCAGATCCCACAGGCTTTGCTGTAAGCTGGAGGGGATCATTTCAAGCCACCACCTGTAGTAATTTCACAACAGCAAACAAAGGGGGGCAAACAAAAGACACTTACCGATTGTGGTGTTCACCCTGTGATATCCTCCAGTGGAAGGGATTCTAGTGGCACCTACAGGCCATCAGCTATCCCTCAGTGCTAGCTACAGCTCTTCCTTTCTTCCCTTTACTTAGCTTCCTGACGAGGAAAGAGTCAAGTGAGAGGAGGCTCTGAACTCACAGATTCTCTGAGCGTATATTTATGTTTCCCCTCCTCTTCCCCGCTGCTTTTTGCCAGCAGACAGAAGCAGGGGGGAAGGTTGCTCAAGAGGCAGTCCAGAAATGACATCAGCGAAAAGGGGTTGAGATAATCAGATTTTGTGCCTCTGAAGGAATTTCCTTCACACAGAGATTGAACAGCGTACATCTACATGAAGGAGGAACAAAAGTTTCAAGGAAATTGCCCAGGCACTAGACAAGTTAGGAAGCAATTAGCTACTCGGCACTTTCCAGGCTAAGATGAATGCCTGCTACCACATCTGCAGACAAACCTCGTATTTTAGCCCCACAAACATTTCTGGGTGCTTCAGCTTAAAATCCTCGCTGTCTTTTTGGATGAAAACATCCTCTTCTGTACTCAACAGGGCATGGTACTCTGAGTTCTGGGAGTTTGATGGAGGAAATAAGGTTGGATTTTTCCTAATTGTTTGTTTTTCTAACTCATCCTGTTCTCAAAGGTCACCCAGTGCATCTGTTCTATTGCCCTTGCCTGGCCAGGTGGGTTGTATGATTATTTGGGGTTCAAAACAAAACATCAGATTATTCTGCTATTGGTACTCAACAGGGCATGGTACTCTGAGTTCTGGGAGTTTGATGGAGGAAATAAGGTTGGATTTTTCCTAATTGTTTGTTTTTCTAACTCATCCTGTTCTCAAAGGTCACCCAGTGCATCTGTTCTATTGCCCTTGCCTGGCCAGGTGGGTTGTATGATTATTTGGGGTTCAAAACAAAACATCAGATTATTCTGCTATTGTCACCGGAACCCTACAAAGTGATCTCCCGGGACTTAGCCTGTATGATAAGGCCAAGTTGTGAATGAGTCAACATGTATCACACTGGCAGGCTAGTCCAGGTGGATAAGGGCGTTGTTACCCTTGAGTCTGAGGGTGTGTCAACAGTAGAAGCATTTTGCTGGTAGAGCAGAACAGTTTGAACCTGGTCTAGTCCAGCACCCTCCAGACCTGACCGGTTCTGAACCAGAGAATTTGCTGAACCACGGAAGGTCAATATTGTCTAGCACATGGGTTCTCAAACTCTGTGATGCTGCGACCCTCCTCTAAGTTGCTCGCGACCCCCCGGGGGGTCAGGACCCACAGTTTGAGAAACAATGGTCTAGCAGCATCACCAACACTTCCATTGCTTCCTGGGCTCTTAGAAGACATTTGGGAAAATTTAAAGCTAAATAACAGCACAGAATACTGAGCCAGGACTGGTGGCTATAAAAAAACTTTATGGGACCATGGGAAACTTAGCCACACTCAGGATAAATGAACATCTGGCTAACTAAAATCATGCTGGACCACAGAAGTTGCCGGACCAGAGAGTGCCAGAGAGGTTCAATCTGTACTGATACATTACCTCCACAAAGCCCTCCTAGTGTTGATGCCACTTATATCAGCAAAACGGTGCTTTTCGCTGATGTAACCGCTTCTATACTAGTGGCCTTTGTTGACACAGCTATGTCGGGCATGGATCATGCACACCCGGAGTGGCGTAACTCTGCTGGCAGAAGTTTGTAGTGTGGACTTGGCCTCAGTCCATTTCCTGGTGCACCGCTGTCTGCATCACACTTTCCACCAGCTCTGGCGGCAGCCTCTGCAGAGAGGCCAAGGGCTGAATGGGCCACAGAGACTGCGCTGCTCTGCAGAGCAAGCCGGAGGCATGTTGGCGAGTCAAGGAGTGGGGCTGTTCGCTGTCCTGGTTCTTTGGATTTCAAAGCATGGTGCATTGTCGTCTTTGTGCAGACAGGACAATGCAGCCACTAGGGATATCCAGCTCACCATTCACCCACCTTGCATTGGGGGAAGGGATAGCTCAGTGGTTTGAGCACTAGCCTGTGTAGGGTTGTGAGTTCAATCCTTGTGGAGGCCAGTGAGGGAATTTGGGGCAAAAATTTGTCAGGGATGGTACTTGGTCGTGCTGTGAAGGTAGGGGAGTGGACGTGATGTCCTGTCAAGGTCTCTAGGACATAGGTAATCTACATTAATTTTTTACATTGACGCTGACTATTTAGAAGGAGAGCTGAGACTCCTGGTAACTTTAGCTATAGTCACAGCTGGAGAAAAATGTGTGTTTCCCATTGGCGTGTCTTCTGGGACGTCTTGTGTCAGCAAATAGGAGCTGCTAGGGTGGATACATGAAGGATCTACTAGTCTGGGATCTCGTAGCTGAAGAGACACCAGTCCCTTCCTTCTCAGTGTGCCTAACTGCATCTCTACCCCACCCTGCGGTGTGTGGAATCTCCCAGCCGGGATCAGCGCATGCACGAGGACGGGTGACCGTTCTGATCTGAGCCTCCAGCGAACGTAGGGGCTGGGTGGGCTCTTCCATAGGAGCCGGACGCTAGAGAGATTTTCTTCAGGGAACATCTGCTCTGACGGCAACCGCTGAGGCAGCTGGCATGGGTGGCGTGCTCTGCCAAGGAACGTGTGCTTGCTGGAGGGGGGAGTGCCCTGCTGCCTAAGGCGAGTAATACTTAAGGTGTGTGTGTGTTATCGTTCTGCACGCTGGGGCAAGCCCATGGCATTTGCCAGGTGTCAGACCAGGTCCTGGGCTGTGGGGAGTCCTGATCTCTGAACAACCGCCCATCCCAACCTCCGTTATCCAGGAATATGAACCTCGGGAAACCATGCTCCCAACATCCCTCAGTGATGAGCTCCCCTCTGCCCTATCAGGCCGGCAATCAATCCCTGAAGGACCAACGTTTCTCTATACGTGTTCACTTGGCTACTGAGCTCTGCCTAGGGGCCAGGCCTACCTAGGGGCCCTCTTATCTGAACTCACACAGGGCCCCCCTGTAACTCGGAGCCACTTCTGCACGTTGCCTTTTTCTGTCGACTCCTACATCTTCCTGTTGAAATCCGTGTTTGGGTTTTATTTTCTAATGCTACGGGGGAAGGAGCAGGAGCAGTCCTCTGGTTATAGTAGCAGCACAGTGAGTCACGCACAGGCTGGGGGAGGGCACCCTGTGCTTTTTGTTAAATGTGGGGAAAGCACCGTTGTGTGGTAAGAGTTCACTCCCTCAGAGTGTCTCTTGTGGATACTTCGGGCATGGCCAGACTGGATCAGGTCTGTGGGGTCATGTCTCTGACAGTGGATCGAGTGACCTGCGTGGAACTTGGAGGGGAGAGTTGCCAGACATCAGTCTGTGTGCAAATGGTTGGAAAACTCTCTGCAGCCGAACCGCCTCTTCTCTTTCATTAAGAGCCAGTTTAGTTTTCGAAACCTAGATCGCTCTTGTGTTCTCACTCAGCACATGGCCAGCACCTGAGGCATCAAAGGAAGATAGAAAAATCTCTGATCCTCGCATTGGATTGAGTGGAATCTCCTCACAGGTCCTGCTCGCAAGTCCTGGGTGGGCCTGAGAAGGCTGTGGCCCATCCACTTTGCATCCACGTCTACCCACGGCTCTCCTTGTGCCCCAGCTCTTACTGCAGCTGGGAAGCGGAACTGGAGCGCTGGGGCTGACCACACTCCACCCGGCATTCCAGCTGGGGAGTAGGGGCAGGGCGCTGGGGCTGACCCTGATCCTCCCAGTGCTCCAGCCAGGGAAGGGGGCCAAGTTACTGGGGCTTAACCCCCACTCCCATCAGTATCCACCCACCTGAAGTTGTGGCCCACCCAAGCGGGCCCTTCTGGCCACGGCACTGCTACAAACCAAGCTGGAAGTCTCTCTTACAGGCAGCGACTCTCCTGAAAGGCTTGGCTCTGTCATGAACAGAGCACCAAGTTCCCCGTACGGGGGCACAGCTTGGCCCAGGAAATTCAGCAGTTTCACAGCCCATGTGACTGCCGTATGACTCAAGGGGGAGAAAGACACCAACTCAGCCAGCTGATCTTTCTTAAGGAGCCACAAAGAAATCAGAATGAAAACAAGCCAAGGGAGACTGAGCAGAAAGTGGGCGGCGATGGAGAGGAAGGATGGTCCAATGGTGAGCGTACTAGACTGGGACACGGGTGCAGTTCCAGGCTCTGTCTCAACCTCCTGTGAGACCTCTCTGAGGGCTGTGAGCCTTGTTAGCTGGGACAGGGACGTTACTCTGCTTGGGATTCAATCCAGCCTGGCATCTTCCCCATGAGACACTTGTCCAGCCCTGCCCCCTGAGCAGGGTGCAGCTCACCTGGAGTTACCCCTTGTCCACCAAGCCCGAAGGCTCCATGTTACTCTGCTATGCTAGGGCGTAAAGGAGCGGCACCCCAGTCGCTAGGCTTGGCACCTTAGTGTACGGTGAAGTGAGGGCCCAACGGTGCCCCAGTGGCCTCTTCACGTTGTTCTTGCTCTGTAATCAGCCAAAGACACAACACCTGCTCTTAATGACACCGGTCCAGGACCCGGCATGCAGATGTTGCAGCATGTTATGGGCACATAGCACCCTAGGCTGGGTTCAGCTGGCTATGTTCTGGAGAACTCTCTCTCCTCTACTCCTAAAGCTGCCCTGGGCTTAGGTGGTGCCCTGCAGCCCTGATCCAAAGCCAGTTACCGCCAAAGGCCTTTGGATAAGGATTTAAATCCCTACAATTACTTCTCAGGCTCTGGCATGTCACCATATCCTACCCCAGAGCTCTTGAGTCCTCCTTTCCCAAGCCTGTCTGTCCCTTTCCTCCTCCTCAGGCCTTGCTCAAAGGGTCACTCTCTCACTTTCAACCTTTCACCAACAGAATCCTGGCATCTAGTTATCCTACTACAGGTTGAATCCTTCTAGTCCACTTTCTGGTCCAGCAACATGCGTGGTCTGGCATGAGTGTAGTTAGCAGGATGTCCACTGATCATGGGTGTGGCCAAGTTTCGCATGGTCCCATAAAGTTTGCTTGCAGCTACCAGTCCTGACTCTGTGTTCTGTACTGTTATTTAGCTCCAATTTACCCCTACATGTCTCCTCAGAGTCCAGTAAGCAGTGGAAGTGTTGGTGATGCTGTTAGACAATCTTGACCTCTCTCAGTCCAGTAAATTCTCTGGTTCAGCACCGGTCGGGTCCTGAGAGTGCCAGACTAGAGAGGTTCAACCTGTGGTAATATATCACAAGCCTGGCCTGGTTAGTTTTT